ATATAACTGTCATTGTTTTACTATAACCATAGGATAAAAAAATATATTTTGATACTTATTTGTCTCCGATCTGACATTTTTACTTTTTTTAATGACATCAGTTTTCCAATGCCATCAGCTTTGTTAACAAGGTACCACTGCACAGTGGCAAATAAATCTGTAAATTCCAAACGGTTAATCTGATTCGAATGAAATACCTCTTTATATTAAAATTTAGATTTGACAACATTTTTGGACTTTTATAATTTTATCCACTGTGCATAGTTACTATATTTATTTAAAGTAAATTAATTCTTCACAATATACATATAAGCCCAATAGGGATTTTTAAGTCCCAAGTTACCGACTTAGAACTGATTTGTTACATAGAAAATTCCAAAGAACTCGCAAAAAAACACAAAATATTTTAATCCGATATGTAAAAATCCATTTTCGGACTTATAAAAACTAAAACAGTTGATTTAGTGATGATAACATTCTCCTTTAAAGCTGCATGGTGTTAATAATAAAACTAATGGATCTGGTACACTTCAATTTTTCGTATTTAGTTATTGCGACTGTAAAAATAACCGAACTTTTTATATTTTTGCTGCTTGGGTATAAGTGGTGCCATGTATACTACTTCAACCAAAGCTAGTAGCTACTAAAGTATCATATATGATTTGTTTTATAAAAGTGTAATTAGAAGCATTGCTAAATATTCCACCCATTGAAACATATATAAGATATGAGGCAGCACTTACATCCGAACGGCTCACAGCATTAGGCGAACTGGCCATTAGCGCTTATGGGACACATTATCAATGTATACTGGACATATTGGATGGTTATAGGGAGAATCCATGTTAAAGCGGACAGCAGTCGGATGTACCATCTTCGATTTTAATGATATTTACCACACATTTAATTACCACACATAACATTTTTAATGGAAACTCATTCCAATGCAAAAATATCGCGATTTGAAAATTGAAAAATATGTTAAAATTTCCTAAAAGTACATAAATTACATTGTATCTCATAAACCATTGTTCTGATTTAAATGAAATGTATAGGAAAATTATTTAGGACGATCAGGCCTTAGTGAAAGTATCTTTTTTTATCACACTATTAAAATAAAAGGTTAAAAACATCGTGTTAGAAGTGAACTCTTCGACTTCAAAAATTATTTTAAAGCTTCTTGCGTCAATAAATGAGATAAAATTTAACTGATAATATTTTTTTGTAATCTACACAATACAATAACGCTATTAAAGGGTTTAAAAGATATAATTTAAATCAAGTAGTGAACAAAAGTTAAAAAATTAAACTAAAATATATTTTCAATTTTATTTATAACTTAATACTACCATTTTTTTATAATACCCGTAATGTCTACTATAAGAAAAATTCAACTTCAGCCAAATCGGTCCTTATATGTATGTAGATTTGTGAAGTTTTAATATTATTTTATAATCGAAGTACTCTCATTTAACACCACGTACCTCACCATGTATTTTAACAGGGTGGTAACAAAGTATGGAATTTTTTTTACATTTTTTTTTAATTGGTCTCCAATTGTTTGTTTAATTTTTCATACGATTTTGTATTAAAAACTTGCTTTAAATTACGTTTTGGTTAATAACTCCTGAACTACACGAACTTTCACTAAAATATAGAAGAGAGTATAGGTATTCTCATACCATGTCCTTTTATAATTTTCAATACGGGACATTGAGCGATACACCATGAAATTTAACCCTGAACCCTTTGGAAGTAAAATATTTTATTTGCATCATTTTAAAGACAATATCTTTGACTTTAAACTTTAAATAAAATGAAAAATATTGAATAATGAAACTCTGGGTAGAACTACAAAGATCCTATGGGTTGACCCTAATGAGAGCAGGACGAGAATCCTACTAAAAATGAGCAAGTCTGAGGTTAGTATGATGGTACATATTCTGAGTGAACATTGGCCAATATTTAGCATTAAAGTAATTTTCTGAAACAGTCCTTATGGGGGATAGCTTAAATTATGGACCGATATTCATAAAATTTGGCAGAGAGATTTAAGTTCCTTTAAAACTTGTTCTCATGTTCTCATTTTTTAAATAGTTATGACTTTATTACGGTGTACTTGTATTGGGGTGGGAGGTTAGGTGTTAGGGATGCCAATCGGGACTGATTTTTAGAAATCGCGAATAATAAAAATAACATTTTCTATTTCATATTGAAAACACTTAGTAAGTTTTTACTTTCCAATAAACAATTTGTGAAAAGAAAAACAAATTAATTCAAAGTAAAGAATAACAAGTAAGAAAGTATAGTCGGGCGTAGCCGACCATATGATACCCTACACCAGTTATGAATATTAAATGTGATTTATTTTTCATAATAAAGCATTTATCTTCAATATTCCCTGAAAAACTAATTTTCTGAAAGAGGCTTTATATGGGGGCTAGGGGCAAATATGGACCAAGCCCGATATATGAATATATGAATATATGAATATATTTATATTTACATAATATTTTATTGTGCTGAATTTCATCGCGATATTTGTGTTTATAAGTTAATTTGGGACATTCAAGTAATTTTCTGAAGGGGACTTTGTATGGGAGCTAGGGTCAAATGGGGCCCGATCTTTATGAAATTTGGCAGGGTCATCAAGACTTCTATAAAACTTAGTTGTGCCGTATTTTATCGATATATCTGTATATTTAACATAATTACGAGCTCAGAAGCCCTTTTCGGGGGGTTCTGTTCTATGGGGGCTAGGTGAAATAATGGACCGATTTTAACCATTTTCAATAGGATTCGTCCTTGGGTCAAATAAAACGTGCGTGCCAAATTTCATCCAATTATCTTGAAAATTGCGACCTGTAGCTTGCGCACAAGGTTTACATGGACAGCCAGCCAGCCAGACGGACGGGCGGACATAGCTTAATCGACTCAGAAAACGATTCTAAGCCGATTGGTATACTTTAAGGTCTAGGACGAATATTTTTGTATGTTACAAACATCAGCACAAATCCAATATACCCTCCCCACTAAAGTGGTGTAGGGTATAAAAATCTTTCCATCCCAGGTACTGAATAGTAAAATAAAAACCTACTTCTGAGCAAAAGCTTCTTATATCTTATAAATATAAAATAATACCTATGATATCCAATTTTACAATGGTTTCAAAATTTACAATTTGATTAAACTTAATATTTAGATAGTATGTGTAATGAGGATCCATACGAGGCTACATGGAGCACCTGTACTGCACCTATGTACTCATGAGACCATCCGTCTTGAGCTGAATATCGGATATATGGTTTTTAATGGTCAATTAGGAAATACTGGTTTCTATCAATTATAGCCATAGTAATTCGAGCTTTTGTCAAGGTACTAGCAATATTATTTTTAGTTATATCCCGTTTTCTCTAACCCAAATAAGGGAATTATCATCTCGCCATCTTATTGACAGGTTGACTTTCATTATAGATTCTAATACACCCATTAGATATCCGATAGTATCAATGCCTATTTATTGGCCTTTTATACCCTACACCACCTTAGTGGGGATGGTATATTGGGTTTCTCCGGAGTAGTGCTTTTGTTTTATACTGTCCTTAAATACCCTGATGAATTTTGAAATGATCGGGATTTTTTTTATCCTAGTCCCCATACAAAGCACAGCTTTAAAAAAGAATTTATTGTAAACAATTCGCTTAAAAATAGAAGTGCCACAATGGAATTCAGCATAAATAAATTTTATGTAACCTTAAATTCGTTTTCCAAATTTTATGAGGATCGACTCATAGGAAGGCTTCCCCCAAGCATATTTCAGAAAAATAGTATTTTAACAATAAACTGCTTAAATATATCGGAGGCGATGTATAAATCAACTTTATTATGAAAACTAAATCACATTTTACTCTCATAACCGGTGTAGGGGGTTATATGGTCGGCCTCGCCCGCCTATAATTTCTTACTTGTTATTTTTATATATCCGATAGTATCTATGCCTACATATTGCCCATTTTATTTTTGATATTTCAGCTTGTAAGTTATTAGAGTCATCTTAAGTCCAAAAACTTTTAAAATTCTCTTATTTAATACTTTATAATGTATAAAATAGCGGAAAAACGCTTAAAAATTCCCCGGGATTTCATTCACTCTACTCTATCTCGTACAGATCCTTTCGAATCTTGGTCATGGTTAAATCGTCTTAGAATCTAAAAAGCGGGAAACCCAAAAATATGCTCCTAAAAGTGCTTTAATCGCGTTAAATATGCAATAAATTTAGAAATATAAAATATGCTCTAAAAGTAAACTTATAAAATATGCTCCAAAAATAAAAGTTTTAATTATTTATTAACATTAAAATGTTCAAAAAGACTGACAATGTAATGAAATGATCAAAATTCATTGTAAGTAAAGTTTTGAAAAAACTTGCAAATGCAAATATACAAACATCATAAAAATAAAGCATAAAACATCAAAATATACGGTAAAAGGGTAAAATACGCTTTATAAACTCGAAAATCTGAATTAAATATGCTACTAAAGCAAAATTATGCTCTTATGTGTAAAATATGCAAAAAATGCACTAACATGACAAAATTGGTCTGAAACATGTAAATATAAAATATAAACTTTTTGTATATTTTTGCCAAAAAATTGTTTAAATTTGAAACTAATGTCAAAAATTAATATTTCCATGCGTTCATTGCGAGAACGTTTTCAAGTCATTAGGTAACATACATATGTACATATGTATATACCAAAATAATAATATAATAAAATAAGCAAATAATACAAATAATTTAAATATTTATAAACCTGTATTTATTTGCAAAGTTTTCAAACGGAACCATAAAATTAATAATTATGAAGACATCTTACAGGACAAAAAATATTTTCTTAATTCTAATTAAATATAATAAATAATAGTTAAATATATAATATTTACACTTTAACACACATACATATAGTAATGGATAATATATAAAAAATTTGTAAAATTTTTACATATTTAAGAGATTTTGTACAAAATCAAAATCCATGTCAAATTGTAAAGAACTTAAACACGTAGATGCTGACAATGAGGATGAAGATGACGATGTGGTGGACAATGTATTGCAAATGTCATCAACGGATGACTGATTATTTGGCAAATTTTCCGCCATTAGGAAATCCAAAATATCTTTTTGATCGTTGAAGCAAGGAAGTGGTTGGTAATCATCGAACAATGATGATGTGGAGTTGAAGAAGGAATCATTGTGAGCCAGAGATTCCGAAGATGAGCCCAAATATTCCATAGATTGTGGTGGCGAATTAAATACTGATTGATATTGAGGTTCAGTTTTCACATAAGTCGACTCATTTAGACTGTTGGGTGATGTCATTGGAGATGTTTTATATTGCTGGTCGAAACTGGTATTGGATAATGACTCCATAGGTTCTTGCTTGACAGCTGAAATTTCAGTGTTCGCCAAGAATAAAGGCAAGTTATCTGAGCTTTGATTGTTTTGTTGGGTAGATGATGAACAGCCACGCAGTTTGGTATAATCTTTTGGGGCTTTTGAGGCGTCTTTCTTGCTCTTCATGCGGCGATTTTGGAACCAAATCTTTACTTGACGTTCGGTTAAATCTAAACGTTCGGCAATTTCAATGCGACGAGGGCGGCATAAATATTTATTAATGTGAAATTCACGTTCCAATTCGATCAGTTGTTTGCTGGTAAATGCTGTACGTATGCGTTTGGCCTTGGAAGTTCCTTTCGATTCGATGGATGATGACGGCGAAACGGGCGATGTTGTTGTAGAGTAACTATGAGTGGGTGAAGGTGACATTGATGCAAGTGGGATATAAAGATAAGTGTCCATCTGTAAAATAAAAATTATGTAAAATTTAGTAAATTGTTTAATAAATATAGCGAAATGTTTAAACTTACATTAAGACCACTTTGATATTGCAAAGTTTGTGACAAGTATTCTTCTAAATTGATGTTATTCAAGAATTCCATTTTTGCTGTTCTCGTTAAAAAATTCCAATAGAAGATGAAGGTGTTGCTTGTTTGAATAGTTATGGATGATTGTGCTCAATGTTTGCTTAACCAAAGTATTTATATGAAACTCTACATTGGAAAATATTATTTTATACCTGCATGCATACAGGACATATCACTATTTGCTTGTTGGATTTATAGCCAAGGACTATTGCAAATCGGAATTAGTTGTGATTTCCTTACCTGCTGCACGCTTGTCTTTCGCTTAAAGATCGTGACAATAAGCCTAAGCAGCCAGACCGGCGTTTCAGTATGCGTAATAGCATTTCGACTAGTCTTATTCACTCTGCTTACAGGCTGTCTAACTGATTTTGTATATTTACTTATGGATAGAGATAGTGATTTAGTTGGATGGTTGGTTAGTTTGTCTAAATATTATAGTTTATGGGCAATTGGTTTGTCACAAAAAGATTGTGTTTTTGATAATTAAAATTATACACAAAATGTATGGTTGAATCCAATTTTATTACATACTCTTACGTACAAAAGTACATTTTTAGATGATGAGTCATTAGGAAAGTAAAGTTGATTAAAGCAAAAAACGGAAGTAAAATGTATTAAGGAATTTCCTTAAAAATCTAAATTAGGAAAATTGTACTTAAAAACTACAAAATAGAAGTTAACTCATGTCAGAGATTTCGTTAACAAAATATTTTTTACTTAGACTAAATGGAGATTACCAATATTTTTTAAAACTCCACCATTTCGTACAAAAAAAAAAAACAAAAATTTATTTTACTTTATCACATTTCTTATTAAATTGAAAGCGAAAAAAACCTAATTGCCTAAAAATTAATTAATAGTTGTAACAAGATTTTGTTCACTTTTTCACTTACTTTTACTAATTCGAACAAAAAAATCATTAAAGAATGTTCCAGAAGCGTCCATGAAATTTGTAAAAGCTGCTTCTCTAAAGCGAGTGTATAGCGACTTTAATTGTGGTAGATATGTTGAGATTCCACATTGATGGAGGCAAGAATATATTATTACCGACAATTATAACTTAGTTATAGAAATATTTTATTCAATTATTAAATAATAACATACATATTAATATCTAAATGTCTCAACTCATTCAACTAACTGACTGTTGTCCCATGCTGTGGCCCTAAAGACGGCTTCTGTAATTTGTGGTTATCTGATCCCAATGTCGACAAAAAGTAAAAAAAACTTTATTATATAAAACAACAGAATCATATTAGATAAACAAAACATTGTCGAAGCCAAAATCAATGGGCGAACATCAGCCAGGAGTCATATTGTGTATTTCGACCATAAGTCTTTTTTTCGAATCTTATTATGTGTCTCGATCATGCTTTGGGTACATTTGTTGTTGTACTTTAATCAATCAGTTCGACTGGTATGTCACCAAAGTCAAATTTTCAAAAAGACATTCGTCTTTTCACACTTGCATTGTTATGTTTCCAAAATATCACATTATCCTCTTAATTTCCTTTAAATATTTATGCTGAGAATAACTGCAGTGATCGCAAGACAGACAGTCAGAGAATGTGGATAGGAGAAAAAGTACAAGTAAGTTCTGTAGAATAGTATGAAAGGCTCGCCATGACATCGCGACAGTAATGTTTAAATGTATAGTTTATAACAACCAATAGTTTAGTTCGTTTCCTTTACATACACTTGGTTTAATTTTTTGTGTAATGCGTCCTTGTAGTTGCATTTTATAATGTATTTCTTCGTTTAGAGAAAAGTCTGCGCACGCGACGACTAGCCAAATCATATGGGCATTTAGTCAGTTGTCTGTTTGGTATGAAAATATTAGAATATGTATTTTACTGGTTGTAGTATGAATTATTATATATGACAAAACGACAATCGTGTGTAGTTTTCCCTTCTACTATTTTTGTCACCTTTGTACTATCGTGTCCCGTCATATGGTCGGCAAAATTTTTTATTTGTAAGTATTTTGACATACAATTTGCAAATTTTCGTTTCAGAATTTTTTTACATTAATTTTCAATTTCTTAAATTTTTGCAAGAGAAAACATTATATGACCATAATGTTTTCTCTTGCAGCAATTTTAGGATCTAACTGATGTTTTACTTATACATTTTCATTGTACAAAATTTAGACACGATTTAAATTTGTTACAATTTAGATATTTATCTATATGATTATATTATCAATTGGTTCAATTAATCATGGAAGTCTGACACCACTCTTTCCTTTTATCACATCTTGGAAAAACGAAGTAGTTACAAGGTGTCAACGTGTATTAAAGCTGAATTTCATAAGAATTGTATTCCCTATTAATTAAATATGTATGTATGTGATATATTTTTGTGATTTTGAAATAGTTTTATAAAATCCTTAATACATATTTATACTTGGTCGACCATATGACGAGACTTAAATTATGGAACAAAAGTGAAAAAAACTAAAGGAAAACTAAACACAATTGTTATTTTAGCTAACGAGTATAAATTATAATAATCAGAAAGTGCATATTCGTATACTAATACTCATACCAAATTGACAACTGACTAAATGTCCATATATGTATATGATTTTGGCTAGTCGTCGCGTGCGCAGACTTTTCTCTAAGAAAACATTTCAGTTGCTAACAGCAAAACTACTAATAGAAAATGCACAAGGACACATTTCCCAAAAGACTCAACCAAATGTACAGGAAATTAACTATTTGTTGCTATAAACTACTTACGCATTAGTGTCGCGATATCATGGCGAGCCGTTTATACGTATTTTAGTGAACATTAATTGTACTTTCTCTTTTTCTCCTACAATCACCTCGGACATTCTCAGCGTAAATATTTAAAGTACATTAAAGGGATAATGTGATATTTTGGGCGCACAACAATGAAAGTGTGAAAAGAAAATTTGACTTTGGTGACACACCGGTCGATCTGATCGATCCATTGGTATACTTAGTGTCGAAAGACACAATGAGACTCCTGACTGATGTTCGACCATTGATTTTGGCTTAGACAATGTTTTGTTTATTTAATACATTTCTCTTGTTTTAGATAATTAAGTATTTTTGGAGATAACCACAAATTACAGAAGCCGTCTTTAGGGGCACAGCGTGGGGCAGAAGTCTGTCGGTAGAACGATTTGAGGCATTTACATTACTTTTTGCAGTAGATATTAGTCAAGTATTATTTAATAATTACATAAAAGAATATATTTAAGATTAAGTACTAAATAATTGGGAGAGTTAAAAGTATCACTTATCTCATGTGATAGAATAGAATTAATAGCACTTTGGATTAAGTTTGATCCGATGAATTTAAAAGAGTATTGAATTTTTTGAAATAGATCAGTTTTGTCGAATTTCAACATAATACTAAACGAACGATTTCTTGACAAAAAAACAGAATTTTATGGAAAACATGTCTATATCGAATTTTATCTCTATACTGATATTTTTATCCGAGCTTTTATTAAAGCTCGGGTCAATCATATAAAAATCCTCACAAATATAGTTTTGAAAATTGATCCCAGAAATTTTCTAGCGTTATATCCTCAACGAATGCATCACCATCAAATCTCTTTATCAGATTTTGTGAGTATAAGTCTATTATTAACCCCACCGCCATATAATTTACCCAACGAATAGGGCTTAGTTAGCATGATGGTACGTATTTTAGTTGACACACAGGATACAAAATTAGACGTTCGGATTCAGGCAATTGAAGAGATTGTGAAACTCTGAAGCATTTCGTTATCATTGTCAGGCCTGCGTCGAAATTAGATCCAAATATCTTGGGAGTGATATTAGTATTTCTTCGGAGTTTATGTAATATACATCCTTCAATCAACCCAACCTATCATTCATTTACTGCATGACTGGCAAAAAAGCCGTGTCGATAAAAATGGGTTTGAATATGTTGTGACATTTTAGTATTTCTTAAATAACTTTCAAACAAATCATGGGCTTTGAAAACGTAATTAAAATAAAATGATTTTTAACTAATAATCGCTATCAAACCGAAAATAAAGGAAATTTTTAAAAATAAATAAAACTATATGAAAGACATTTGGTCTAATTAGCGCAAATACCTAAATTGGGGGGCAAAGCGGGTCTGGGGTACTATATTGAAGGCCCAGAAACTGAATAATAATAGCTTCCAATTGCCAACAGAGTTAACATATTTACGGACAGCCAGAAGGCAATCAGGGCGATATCAGGTGATAAAGTTAAATCTGAGACCGTATTGGATTGTAAGAACGCTTCCCAGACCACTCGGGAGTACTCGGCAACAAAAGAGCGAATATATTAGCTTTAAAGGGAAGTGAGCTCGAGGTAATTAACCTGACGAATGCATCACCATTCGACGCAACAAAGGTTGAAGAAAAGATATGGGTGAAAGAATCCCATAAAGCTTCTTTTATATAATAAACCACAATTATCGAGAGCAGGATGACAAATCTCCTCACCATGATCAAGTCTGAGGTTAGTATGATGGTACGTATTCTGAGTGGACACACAAGATTACTGGCACAGCTATGTACATATACAAAATTTGACATGCAGATTCAGACGAGAGCATGTAGAGGGGACAGTCAAACTCTAGAGCACTTTCTTTGTCCCACTATCAGGCATTTGTTAAAATTATTCCTCACGAACACTTATTAGGAATTACGTCCAGGAAACTGAGTTTATGAAAGATAATACATTATGTGAACACTATGATTTATTTTTTTTACCAAAAAACACTTTTTTCCATGAAAAGAAACGCACAACAGTGGGGTATTTCTTCGTACTTGATGTAGTATACATCCTCCTTTCAACCTAATCATATTGAAAGACATTCGAAGACGCATTTTTTAGTATTCAGTTCACCAACGCCGAATTTTTAATTTTCCAGTTATGCGGTATGTAAAAAATACATTTTGAAATTATCATATTTTCGATAGAATAATACAAAGTTTAACATTATAGAAAATTAAGTTTTACGTTTTGTTAAAAAAATAT